ACCAAAAATACATTTTGAGAAAATATTACCAACAAGGTTTTTAAAAAATAAATATTAAAAACAATATATTTTGAAGGAAAAAATTACCAGAAATAGATTTTGAGAAGAAAAATTTACCAAATAAAGAATTTTAAAAATTCTTTCGGCATTAAATAAATTTTTTGAGGTGTTGATATGCCGTAAAACAAACCAAACGAGTAACAAGAAATAATGTCAAATTAAGAGTTCATTAAGTGCCTAAAAATGACTCTCTTCATATCATTCCATCAATGTATATGTCGATAATCTTCAGAAATTATTAACTTCCTATTCTCTTCCTTGTTATCTGGCTGTCGACCTCGTTGTGTTCAAATCAGTCTGTTGTCTTTAGTCAGTTCGCATCTATGAGTCCACATCTGTATGTCCACGTCGGACCATTCGCATCTATCTGTCGATCCCTGTCTGTGGAGCTCATCTTTGCTCAAATCTGCCTGTCGATCGCTTAAAAAGTCCAATCTTCTCTGTTTATCTGTCGATTGTATGTCTATTTCGTAAAAACGTTTGCATCATCATATTCGTCTGCCTATTCGCATCTGTCTGAATCGATCCATTACCGTTTTTCATCTGTCTTCCTATCGATCCTGTTCGCATCTGATGCCTGTCGATCGTTTACCGTTCGCATCTGTCACCTATCGATATATATATATATATCGCATCTGTCTGCCTGTCGATCGTTTACCGTTCGCATCTGTCTGCCTGTCGATCGCTTGAAATTTGCATCTATATGGCTTTTTCGCACTGTCGATGGCGTTCGCATCTGTCTTCGCCTATCGTTCGCATCTTCGATCGCTTATTACAAAACATCTTATTTTGCCTATCGATCGTTTAAATTCGCATTTGTCTGCCTGTCGATCGAAGACATGAGTGTCTGACGATTTATTTTAAATCTATCGATATTTTAAATTCGCATCTGTCGATCGCTTAAAGTTTTCATTTCGATTGCTTACCGTATATCTGTCTGATAAATTTTATCCGTTCGCATCTGGTTATCGATTTGTTTATTTATGTTTGTTCCGATTGCCTTTTTCCTCTTTAATTCACTTATTTCTGATCGCTTACCGTTCGGTCAATAAAAAAAGAATCTGTCGATAAGCCGAAAATATATCTTTTCGCTTACCGTTCGCATTTGTCTGCCTTCGATATTTACCGAAGATGTTCTGTAAAATCGATTTACCGTTCGAATCATTCTGTCTGTCGATCGTTTTTTGTTAAGTTCTTTTCAACTGTCGATTGTTATATTATTTATGTCTTCTAAACAGTGTCTGTTCACGTTTTATAAAAAAATTTTTTGTATTTGTGCCTTTGTTTTTTGAATAATTTTTGAATATTATTTGAATTTAAAAACGAAACAAAATGCTTTTCAATTCAAAGTTATTAGATAAAAACAAAATTTCAAAATAATTCACATTTGTTGTTTTTTTTTTTTAAGCCATATTGACATCTGTCCTGAAAAAAAAAATGCCTAAACGAGGATTGGTTCCTAATAAATATTTTCCCTTTCTTTTTTAATTATTTGCGACAATGTAATGTTATATTCCCTGATTGGTAAATGTTTTTGAAAATTTTTAAAGTTCTGACCTGACCTAAATTAAATGGTTTGAAAGACTCATATTTATTTTCCATACAATTAACTGGGAAAAACCTATTTTACATTTGATAAATTTTTTTTCATTTAAACATTTAATAATTAGAAAGAAGAAAGTTTTTAATCTGATAGCTGTTTAAGGCTTGGCCTCGACCCTTTCTTTTCCCATTAAACCGTAATTAGTAATTTTTGGCAATTGGTGTTAATTTTCATTATTAAACCTTTGAACTTTGAGACCTGACCTCTTGCCGATAGTTTATTCGTGGATATTTTGGATAAATTTCATTACCTTTGACCTTTAATTGATTGTTGAAATTTAGCAGCAAATGACAAATCTAACGTTTCTCTTATGAACAATCATTTTATATGTTTACAAGAGCCATTCGCGGAAGTATTGTTTGGTTGTTTTTGTTTAGCGGCACATCAACATCTGTATGGGTTATTTAATACCGAAACCTAAATATGAAAATTCAATCTTTATAATTATTTCATGATGAAATTATAATTACTTAAGTGATTTTTTTCATCATTTCTATTAATTCATCCCAAAATAAAAAATTTAAATTTAATAAATTTACACCAAATTCTTCCAAATGCCTCCTTCCTTCCATTTATTTTTATTGGGTTGATTTTTGCGATTATCAGCCAAATGTGAAAACTCTGGGTGCTTATTTATTCAAGTTTATGGTCTGCGTTCATGCGCTCATCCCGATAAACAATATTCAAAAATGGATATTTTTAATTTCTTTTTTTTTATTGTAAAGAATTCCTTGTAAAAAGCTTTTATCATCCAAACTTAACATCATTTGAATAAAGGCTCCACACTTTTGGTCATTTTTCAGGTTGGAGTTGTTGAAAAAGAGGATGAAAATTTCAAATTTTGATTTAAAATTTATTTCAATTCAAAAATTTAAAAAAAAAAAAAAAAAAATTCTTTCAAATGAATAATTTCTTGGTGATAAGTAACTTTTACATGATTTCGGATGAATTAACAAAAAGATCTTTTTTTTTTTTTTTTTTTTTTTTTGCAAATATTCTTAAAAATCCAATTCATTAAAAACTTCAAAATTTTTACAAATGTCTAAGATTAATCATAGAAAATTGTTTTTTTATCACTATCTCCAGTGTCTATATAAAATTTTTTACAAATACATTGAGTCAATTGCTTCTTCCACCGCGAGGAAAGTTGGCTCTCTGTGCCGCGCCAGGAAATTTTTCTCCCCTTTCGATACTTCAAATATACAAAACAACCATTCGCCCTTGCATGGAATATTGCTGCCATATATGGTCTGGGGCACCTTCTGTTTACCTCAAAGTTCTTGACAAGATCCAGAGACGGATATGTAATCTAATTGGCCCTGATCTGGCGTCTCGTCTACAGTCACTCTCTCTCAGACGCGCCGTCGCCTCTCTCTGTCTTTTCTACAAATACTTTCATGGTAATTGCTCCGATGAGCTGCTTTCACTGGTTCCCAGACTCCATGAATTCAAGCGCCCTACGAGGCTGGCATCCCGCTCCCACCCTTACACTGTAGAAACTTTTAAATGTAGTCGTCTCTTCTACTCCAATAGCTTCATACCTCGCACCTCTCGCCTGTGGAACTCCCTCCCCAATTACTGTTTCCCTGAAAGCTATAATCTCCAACTATTCAAATGTAATGTCAATCGACATCTCCAGTTACCTTGATCTATCCACTATCCTTCTCCTCATCCTTTCTTCTATCACTCCTATCTGCTCTCGCTCCAAATCTTCCGCAACCCCTTGCATCCTAGTGGCTTCACGCCTTGCTTGGGGCGTAATGCTTAAAAAAAAAAAAAAAAAAAAATCTATTATAAAAACAAACGAACAGAGAAATATGTTGAAATTGTTACAAAATGAGGAGTAGATATTGAAGATTGTTTTAAAAATAATTTAATCCACCTCCATATGATCAGCATTGGTTTGCAAATGAATGGTTTTAAATAAAAATTGATCTCTCGACATGTTCCACAATAAAAAATAACCATTTTTTCATCAATAGTGGTAATAGCATCAGTGATATCTTGCTTTAGATCAGCGATGTCCTGTATCAGTGTTCGATACACAAGATCTTTAACATAACCCTGTAGAAAAAATCCAAGGGAGTGATATCTAGTGAACGAGGTGGCCAGAGAATTGGTCCATCCCATCTAATCCACAGGTCTGGAAGTGTTAGGGATTCATTTAACAGTACCTTTTTGTCAACAAAAATATCTTCAATGTTAAATGCATGTGATTAAAAACTTTGAAGAACCGCTTATACGAGGAAATAATCTAATATATCTCATCAATTTTATAAATTGAAATATATTTTATAAATTGTAAAGATATTTATGGACAAACTTGTATGTCATGTCTTCAATTTTATTTTTATTAAATGTAATGAACTTTCTAATTTAAATTGTGTTATAGAATATGAACAAAAAAGTTTTCTTCCTCCGTATGAGAAACGAATCCCTCGTCGCCATATGTGTTTGAGAGTATTTTTCACAGTGAAGGCTTGTATTTCACTAAGTCGGTCCTAAAAAGGTTCGACGTACAAAAATGTTAGGAACTTGAAAATAATAGTTAATGACGCAGCAATCTAGTTGTGGTGGTTGATACTTTAATGTCCGACATCGACTGACTCACCAACTCACTCTCAGCCCACTGGCGACTGACTGCTACTACTACTACTTATTATCTGTGGGAGAGTCTATTAACAATAGAATAGGTATGTTCCGGTATAACACTATGAAAAAAAAATTGTTGGTCATTTTTGCTAAATGAAATTATTGTTGGTAATTTTATTGAAAATCAAAACATGGTTATACCAATGATAGTTGTCGGCTTTTTGACCAAAACTTTTTAAAATTTTAATCGTTTTTTATTGGTTGTCAGAGCATAATGTGGAACTAGAACAATCTGACCCACTAATTAAATAAAGCGCGGTTCGAAATAAAAGTCACCCGCGACAAAAATTGTCTTTTCCATCGGTTTAAAATGAAAGTTCTGTTCGTATATTATCAAAAAATATACATTGACTATAAAATTGATAAGATATTAATAAATATTTAACCATCAATATAATTTTATTCTTTAACGGAACTGGCTCCCATTTGTCAAGTCAACAAGTTTATAAAAATAAGATTAAAACCTAATAAGTTTTAAATAATACAAATCAATTTAATTTACCATTTCAAAATTGATATCAGATGAAAATCATCCAAATGGTTCTGCAAAAAATCTAAACATGCGACCTCAGAAGGAACAATTATTTTACAAGAACACCCTGATTAAAAAAAAAAATTTTCCCAATTAAACTCCTCTAAGTATAAGATGGCCTGTTCGACAATGGAGAATTTCAACATTCGAGGTTGTTTCCTTTCGACTATGGGTTCGCTTTTGACGTCCTATGGTTCGGCATTATATGATTTTTGGTAGCGTTGATTGATTATTTTGGTCTTACAGTTCAAACATATAATCCCTTGAATATTTTGTTATCAGTTAAATATAATTTGGTTCTTTGGATGGAGTTCAACTCGGATGCTGTCTTGTGGTCTTTTTCCTAAAATCTGTATTATCTGAATTTTTTACAGTAAGTTAACATTTGTTGGTTGGGATATTTTTATAACGACATAACAAATTATATAAAAGAGATATTTAATCAATGAAATCGCAATAATTTTTTAATGTTGGCCGATTCAGTTTTGCTCAGGTCTTGAATGGAAAAACAGAATACTTAAATTTATTCTCATTGTTTTTAAATCATTCGGATCTGTATTGTTGATAAATTTGATTAAATGTATTCATTTGAGAAACGTTGGTCTTAGTGGCAAGATTTACATATGAAAATAACAGTCCAAATCATGATTATTATTTATAATTCTACGACTCTCGACTAAAATTGTCTCTCTTACTTTTTCTAACTCTGAAACAATTTTACTGTTTTCACTCGTGATTTCTTAAGTTTGAATGAATTTTACTTTTGCATTTTTGACATCGACGACAGGGGTTTTATCCAACATTTCTAAATCCGTGTTCTTTCGTTAGGATAAACATAATGGCAAGTTCCGAGTTTTTTATATGAATAATATTCTTTGATTCAATCAAAACGATATAAATTATTCATTCCACATGGTTAAAAAGATAGTTTAGAAACGTTTAATTTTTTCTATTCGACATTTTTACTTCATCTTTATTGAACAGAACTTTATCTTCATCCATAAATGGTAATGATTAAACGAAGGCAGAAATATTATCTCCCCAGATAAATTGTCTCATTTTTGTTAAAATTTTTTTTGTTTTTTTTTAATGTGATTAACCAGCAATAAACAAATTCGCGCCAAAAATATCTTGAAATACTAAATTTATCCCAAAAAATCATCACTGGCTTTCAACGACTATCGTTCTATCTAAACCTGCAAGCAGACGATCTACATTCTTTATTTCCATAATCCTTGCTTTCAGTTCATCTTTGACCGCAGGAGTTTTGTTACGGGGATCTCGCTCAATCCACTTCGTATTCCATTAATAATCAAAGGGTTACAGTCTTTTTTCTTCCCGAAAGTGCTAAGATGTAGAAATAATTTGATGTGATCGCATAAAATGTGATTTCAGCCGTTTTTTATTGACCTCCTTGTTTAAACCCATAGTGGGGAAACTGCCGAATATCAATTTCTTTCTCAGTGATTTTCACCAAAATTTTAATGCAACGAACTCACTTGATGTAGGAACCGTTATCCATTCTCACCCCTGTGGTCAAGATAAATTGCATATAATTCCACCATCAATAGTGTCACTGACCATGTTGCCTGGATGATTCATCTAAAATTTTCGAATTTTCTCAACTGTCTCCAGATTGAAACCCAAACGCTGAAATGTTAAATTGAAATTTCCTGACCGGAATCCTCCAAGAAATATATCGTTGGGAAGATCTTTCCAAATTTTTTCAAATTCTAGCGTCATGGTCCTCTCTTTTAAATGTCTCTGCTCTTCTACTGACCCTACAATATTGTGCAGTTGACAAAATCAAAACAAACAACGTGTGGATAAAATTCTATGTAAAATGGCGAATTTTTTCCTCCAATTTAGACATAACATTTAGGACCAGTCTATAAGGTCTATAATGAGTTTACGAATAATTCATCTTCCTATTTAAATTCTTTCTCTTATTTTATAATTTCAGTAAAACGTTTCTTCCATGAACTCTACTTTCTTGCTTTAAATTATTCCTGATAAAATTCTCCCCAAAGAAAACGGTCAGCCGTTATCTTACAGGGCTTTTAGATCTGCCCCTCTTCCTCCTCAGGTCTATGTTGCCTATTCGTCCTGGGTTTGACGATAATACACCCGGAAAAAGCCTCATGATCAATTTTAGTGAACCATGTTTTAACAACCTCTTAACTTATGGTGTTTCCAGGTTTCACACTTTTGTTTTTTTCTTCAAAGAAACCTTTATCATAATCTTCAATCTCCTTTTAATAATGATCCAAAATCTTTAATATTTGATACATTAACTCAAGTTGGAATATAAAAAAAAAATTGATGAAGATTTAGCATCCATTTCTCTTCAAATCTGAAGAAGAACATTCCTAAACAAAAAAGTATTGATCTAGTAATTCTCTTTTTTACTCTCGATTCTTCCGTTTTTTCCGCGTTCATCGTTAAGTTTGTTTTTAAACTGATCCTTGCTTCTGCCTAATACTTTTGGTTTACATAGTCGAAAGACAATTTAATTTGCATAGTTCCCACTGTTTTGCCGTTCGTACTTTGATTATCTGTTTTCATAATCCCTTTTGCATAAAAATATTTCAGTTGGGAATTACAGTTGGAAATATCTTCACTTTCATTTCTTTTCCAGGCAGTCTCTTACTGAAGATGTTCCCTCATCTTTCTTGTGAAGGTTTTTAAATCTGGTAATAAAAATCACATCTGAGCCCCTATCGACCTTTGTTTTCCACTAGTCCCTTTTAATGAACAGTGCATTTTGCACCAATGATCAAACATATTCAACGGGTTAATTTAATGTTTCTTTCAAATCCATTGTAAATCACTGAACGATTTTGATATTATAAATCCTAGCCCATAATTATTTACCAAGACAAAACGTAAATTTTAACAATCAAATAATTAATTATGAATTCCAATGAAAGCCACCCTCGTGTATCATCAAGGCGTTTTATTATTTTATTTCATGTCCAAATTCGACTCAACAATGTTTCAGCTTTCATGGTGATGATCATATCTCAGCTCGGTCGGCAATTTAGAAATTTATTCATTTCCACAGCACAAAATTCCAAGCAGTGCTGCCACCTGTTATCTTCTATTTTCTCAGGCATCTCCAAGATTAAAATTCGCGCTAGTCACGAATTTTTTCTTCACCCCAAGAGACAATTTTTTTCTCTGTTTCAATGCTTTACATGTCCACACATCGAACCGAGTCTCTGTTGAGTGATATGCAATAACTGTTCCATGGTTTCTTTATCATTTTCTAGAATGTCCTAATATTCCTGTAATAGGTCCTTATGAAGTGTGTCTTCCATGGCTACTGTTCTTTCAAACTTTATAATAATTGCCTGTTGCTTCCCATCATCTGTTGATATCCTTTTCTGTTCCTTCCATCAAATCAGGTGACGTCTGACCCCTCCTACTAGCGGCCTATCAGCTTTTTTCAGGCAAACAGAGGCCCTTTTCAACGACAATTGGTTAAAGACAAACAATATGTCTTATAGATCTGTCTACTGAAAGATGCATTAACGACTATTGTGGAAAGAGACTTTTAGCTTTGACAAATCAAGCTTTAGATAAGAATGATGAAGGTTATTGCTTTGGATAACACGAATATTTGACCATCTGGTTTGGCATTCTTGGATTCCTCACAAGTTGAAAAAGTTGAGACCTCTTGGACGAATTTTGAACTGATTCAATAAGACTTATGAAACCGTGAAATGAAAATCGTCTTGAATGGCTACTCTTCTAGATCAACTTTTACTAATGCAGATGCCCCCCCAAGGGTTCTATCCTTGGTCCTACTTTGTTCTTAATTTTCATTAATGAACTTTCTGGGGCATCAGCTCCAACTTTGATTCCACCCTGGTGACAACCATTTACTCCGAGAGTAAGGCTCGATAAAATTCAAATTGGGCTGATCTAAAAAATGACCTAGAGTTATGTTGTTAACTGGGCTGTAAAGAATGGTTTGTTAATTTTAATTGGCCAGATGTTTACCTGTGAAAACTTTAATATTATCATGAGAGGCCCCTTTGTCTTTCATTAGATACTAACTTCAAGCAGAGTGACTCGTAGCACCTTCTCGAAAATTTATTCTCAGCCTGATATGAATGGAAAGACTATATTGAATCCATTGCTATCAATGCTGTTAAAAAAATTGATTCGCTTGCCGTGCTTGACAATTTTACTCTCCAGAATCTATTTTCTCTATCTATATGTCTCCTATTCGTTTTGATTTGGACAATTCAATAAAACAAAAAACTTTTGATCCACATTTTTCCATATCTTTGATAAAATCAAAAACAAAAGCATAATGTTATTTGGTTTATAATTTTTGGGATCTCTCATTTCCTATCTCTCATTATTAACTTAAGGGTCTTTTTTGCCTTTTCTATAAATACTTTCTTTAATTTTTCTTATGAACCTTTCCTCGATGCTACCTTTACTTTTCCCTCTTTTAATTTAAATGCAATTTTAATCGTTATCTTCTTTTCTTTTCTACTCTTCCCTTGTTTTCGGTTTTAGGAATGTTTCTAATTTCTAATTCTTTCTTTCAAAATCCCTTGTCTCTTAGCGGCTTTACTGTCTTTCTTGGGATAATTCAATTTTCTTTTCTAAAATATATTTTCCATATCTTATGATAAAGCTCTAAATTCTTTCCTTTTCCTCTAGATTTAAAAACGTTTCTTATTTCTTTTTATTCCCTTTCTTTCTCTCCTTTCTTTCCTTTTCCCTTCTCTCCTTTCTTTCCTTTTCCCCTCTCTCGTTTCTTTCCTTTTCCCTTCTCTCTTTTCTTTCCTTTTCCCTTCTCTCCTTTCTTTCCTTTTCCCTTCTCTCTTTCCTTTTCCCTTCTCTCTTTCCTTTTCCCCTCTCTCTTTCCCCCTCTTTTTTCTCCTACGAAAAATCCCCTTTTTCTTTTCCCCTTTCTTTTTTCCCCCTTTCTTTTTTTCCTTTCTTTCCTTTTCTCCAATTCTTTTTTCCCTTTCTTTCCCCTTCTTTCTTTCCGTTTTTTCTCTTTTCTTTCTTTCTTTTTTTTTTCCACTTTTTCTTTTTCACTCCTTTTCTTTCTTTTTCAGTTTTTCTTTTCCTCACTTTTCTTTCCTTTTCTTTTCCCCTTGTTTCTTTTCCTTCATTCCCTCCTTTAGTTTTTCTTTTTTTCCCTCTTTACTTACTTTCCACAATATATCTCGATATTAAATCATCAATCATTCTAGCAACCCAAATCTCCCATTTTGTTTATCATCGTCAACATCATTTTATTCCTCATTAAGGTACTTACAACCTCATTTCCGGCGGACAGACCGGAAAGCTGGCGTTTGGGAGGGCAACCAGAAGAGACATAACCGCTTGACGCGTCTCAGCTGCTTTGAAAGATGTCAAAACAGCTCAGATGAAGTTTCAAATACGCAGCGACTTTCGACCCTACTGATGGCGGCATAGAAAGATTTGTTGTTATCTCAATGATAAGAATAAATCGAGACTTAAATGCGAATCCTGCACGCAGTTATTGAAAGTGGGGGGGAGTGCTTGCTTGGATTACAGTCAGCCTTACGAAACAGAAACGCAAAAAGAAGGAAATAAATCACTCTAGAGAGGAAAAGAACCGCGTACAAAAATCGGGGTTTTAAGGGAAAACAATGAATGACTTTTTTTTATTATTTCACCCCAACCAAGGCGATAATGCCACTAAGACGCAGGTCAAGATATTAATGTTTTCTTGCGTTGCTTTTTAATATTGATGCCGTTGAATTTCTGTATCTCTATTTATAAAAGGTAGGATGTGTGTGTGTGTGTGTGTAACGAATGCACGGTCGCAATTTTCGACGGATTTGCACCAAAATTTATATGCACATGCTCCAAGTTAGCGGGAAGGCCAAGACCGACGTTGCATTTCCCAGCTCCCATAGTGGAAATAATCGATTTTTTCATGCTTCTACGCAGTTTTCATGTAGTTTGCGGCCATTTTCTACTTGCCAGAGTTAGAGCTTATAGCTGGCTGCCACGAATAAGCAGGAAGATTCTATTGGCCAGCGTGAGAGCCAACAGCTGACTGACACGAATGTTAACGAGCATGCTAGCATGCAAAAGAAAAAAAATCGATAGCTGCATTCGTCACAAGTGGGAAAAATTTAAATCTGCATGGCACTTTACTCCAATTGGCTCATTCGCTTGCTTAAACTCAACGTTGATTCTGATTCTGCAGAACTGGGTTGGGTGTGAAAAAAGTATTTGTTGTTAACATTCTTTTTTTCATTCGGTTTTTCCAGTTATGAGTCCTTTTTAAAAGCTGATTGTTTTGTGTTCATTTTGTTTAGTTCTTTTTTGTAACAGATTTAATGTTTAGTATAGAACTTAGAAAAAAAATTCTTGTGTGAGATAGGCAAGAAGTAAGGCATGTAGCAACATCAGCACGGCAAAGGGCACTCCTTTAAAAAGCAAGGAAGGGCAAAAATATTTTAAGTTCAAGTGATAGCGATTGCTGTATGAGTCGTACGATTTTTGAATCAAGCACGGGCAACGCCGGGCCATGCTGCTAGTGAATAATATTATTTGGTTATGGATAATGTAGTTTCAAAAATTATTTTTAATTAATATTTGATTTATATGTTTCAGTTTTTTTAAATCATTTCTCCCCAGGTAAGGCGATAATGCCACTAAGAAACAGAGGGTTACATGAGAAAGAATGAGAAGACATTAGTGATAAGTCAGGAAAAGGACAATAATGGAACAGGGTTCAGGAAGACAGAAAATGGCGATTGACGTTGTACTTAAATTTTTGAAGCAGGAAAGCAAGAAATCAGAACGGTGTTCCACAGGTGGGAAGTGCGAGAAAAGAAAGAATTTTGTTAGAATAGACGGTTGCATCTAGCTAGTTCAGCAGTAAAGCGGTAAGACCTACCTTCAAAACAGTCGAAACACTAAGGAGAAAGGCTCGTCCGAGCAGTTGCGATTTTTTTTTACCAGAAAAGACAGAGGGAAGCCACGTCATATCGATGACAAAGTAACTGAAGTATGAGATTCTGAATCGGGATCTATTACATTACAGATCCATCTTTGGATTTTTTTTAAGAATCTTGGGATGTACAGCAAGTGCACCGGATCAGATATGGTAGCGGTATTCAGTGCATGAACAAATGATAGATTTATAAATGTGCAAGAAGGCTTCTGATGAGAATAATTGTCTAGCATGACACAGTGAACCTACTTTCCTAGCAATTGATTCATTCCACCTCATCAGTTGAAAATGTGGCCTCATGAAAGCACAAAATGTTGCTCTTCTAGAGTTTAGTATCCCCCCCCCCCACACACACGCACACACAAAAGCTTGAGTCAATGATTAAAAATGGCTTTCAGTTTGTGAAACCTATGGATTTTGATAGGGGTAATGGATAGCGGTTCCGATTGAGGAATCGGAGAACCGAGTTCAAATTCCAGTCGAATCCATTACATTCACTTACGCACTAATACGCTTGGAAAAGGTATGAATCTTCTTCTTCTCCCCTGAGCTTTATCTAAATAACAGGACAGACCGGGTTCTATAGCCTTAGATGGCAACTGGACTACCGCAGAAAGAAATGGAAACTTACTGCAGGAAAAAATCTGCTTCGTCAGTCATGTATCGAAAGATGCATGATCGCCTAATCATGTATCATGCATGGCACATAACTGACTGACTGAGAACTTGTTGGGATAGGAATGATCTTGAAAAAATCAGCATCTTCAACCTTGGTTTATGGATCAGTTATAACCCATAGATTTTAAATAAACTGATTATATTAATGGAACTTTAAGAACAGTTTCATCCAACATTTCAATCTTAATCATTCCAATCTATAATCAACCAATTATAATACCACTAGGATGCATGGTTACAGTTGAAAAAGTCTAGAGGTGAAAGTGAGGAAAAAGAATGATAAATCTATTAACTATCTATCAAGAAGAACAGAAGATGGCAAAACATTTCATTTTCCTATTTGATGATTGCAGGTGACAGGGAAAAAAGGACAGTTGCATCTTACTAGTTCAATTAAAAATGGTGGGACCTAGTTCGTATATTTATCTGTACAGATTCAATTTTGTGTAATCGAGGCAAACAGTAACAGCTCATCGAAACATTGCCATGAAAATATATGCAGAAAAATAATTGTCTAAGACATGTGAGAAAGTGAAAGTGATTCATTCTGGATTCATCTATTACTTACAGACCCTTTTTTTAGATTTTGTCAAGAATCTTTGGGAAATGTTTGAGCAGGAGCACTAGGTCAGATATGGTAAAGTATTCAATGCATGAACAAATGATAGATTTATAAATGGAAATAAGGCTTAGGATGAGAATAATTGTCTAGCATGACACAGATGAACCCACTTTCCTTTATAATGTAAACATAGCAATTGATTCAGTGTAATCATTTCACTTCATCAGTTGAAAATGTGATTCCATGAAAACACAAAATGTTGCTCTCCTAGAGTTTAGCATTAGAAAAAAAAACTTGAGGCAATGATTAAAAATGGCTTTGTGTGAGTGAAACATATCGATTTTGGCTGTGGAGTTCTTCTGCTGCACATAGCCACCCTTTATTATAATTTATCCAGAGAGCAAAGTTCAAGATTTTCAGTCCCATCCATTACATTCACTTACAGGCTAATACCCTTGGGAAAGTATGAATTCCTTTTTGATTTATTGTTTATAGCTATAGGTAAATAGTGATTGTTATGGATTCTATGTAGCCTTGGATGGCATGGGTCTTTCAAGGACAACTTCAGGATTCAAAACCTGCAGAGGGATGTTTATCGGACTTTTTTCACCTCCTTGCACCAGGTGTCTGCATTTGGAATAATTTCAAAAAAGTGTGGATGGTTCTGCAATGGAAAAATGCCACTATAATCAAATCGTGTGTTGGTGTCATTCTATTTCCCAATCCCTTGGGATAATACAGTTTTTAACATGCATTACACAATTGAAAGAGAAAGTGAAAATTAAGAATAATATATTGATATTATAATAATATTATCGGATATATAACAAAAAAATATATGATGAGAGAAGGAAGCCATTTTTCAATGACATCAAACAAAATTTATGATCAGGATCTATTATGGATGATTACAGATTTTTTCAGATTTTGTCAATTATTCTTGAGATGGGAAAGGTGGCAGGACTTTCTCCAGATCAGCAAATAATAAATAATAATACTATTAACTTTTTAGTCACAGGATTTTTTTTGGCTCAGAAATTGATATACCTTAAGGTCAATAAATCTGGTTGATTTTTTATTAAGGATGTCGATTTTTTTTGTTTTTAAAAGGAGGCACGTGGGTTTGAGTTATTGATTGAGGAATTTTTTCCAACAACGAAGATCTGGACGTCAAGCTAACTAAAAGATTTTATTTTTTTTTTTTTTCCACCCAGTTTAAAGTTCTTTTTCGAGAGTTGGTTGTTAAATTTTGGACGTGTAAGATTTTTTTTGTTTGGAAGCGGATCCCAAAAAGGGTGGACGTAAAAGGACAAAGATTCTAACAAAGGTTTTTGGGGACTGACGTGGTTAACAAACTCTGTTGATTTAAAATCATTTTCGTTGAAGTTGTCTTTATAATCCGAACAAAACAACATTCTGGAGATCGAGAGGCCAAGAAAGAAGGCAACGTTATAAGACAAGAAATAATGAAAACAAATATTATAAAATTTAAAATAGGGGCTAAAAACATTTTAATTAATTGGTCCAGTTGTAGACAGATCCCTAGAACGAGGGGGGGCTATGCAAAGCACACTTATTCAAAGGATAAATTATAGAAAATATAAATGTACAAAGATGGATTCTTCACCAAAAAAAGGATGTCGATTTTCACAGTGAACCAATTTCATTGAGCAGACCTATCTTTCAACTGATTCATAACTTTGCATTCGTGGGGAGCCATTTTGATGGAAGGAAAACAGTTCTCAAGGGGCCTTTTTTAAAAAATTATACCCCACATTTTCCCTCTTTTGCTCCGATATAGCGGTACCATCAAAAAATAGAAAACTTGTATAGGAGTATAGTCGTTGTTATTTTTTAAAAAAAACTGATAAAAATTCCCCAAAAAAAGGCAATAACATTTTTTAATTTTATCGAGTAAAAATTTTTATAACGAACATACGCAGAAAGGT